GAAAAATTACTAAAATATTAAAATTTCATTTTTAAAAAGTTTTAAGAGATAGATAAAAAGATATATAGAAAAGAGAATTAAAAATTTCTTTTTTAAAAAGTTTTTAAAAATAGATATAGAATTCTTGAATATTTAGAGTTTTATAAAGTAATTTTTTAGATAGGTGTATGTCTAAGCGCTTTAGAGAAATATTGAATATAAAAATATAGTATAAAACATATATATATTTTTCTTTCTCTATTGTTAGAAATTATTGATTCAATTGTTATATTTTTTTATTTAAACATAAATAAATTACTATTTGATCATTTGATTTAAAGAAATTATATAATTTATGTATTTTAATTATTTTATAATTAATTTTATCAAAAATTGTTAATGAATTAAGGTCGTCAAAAATTGACTTTATTTAAATTATAATTAAAATTCAGAAAGAATTTATTCAGCAAAAGCATCGATCAAACATGAGAAAAAAATATTTAAAAAATTATTCAAATATGTTAATTCAATATTGATTGAAAATGAAGAGAATAGATAGATAGTTTTTGTGCCACATAATTTTGCAATTATTTGGCTCCTTAAATAAAAAAAATAAGTCGCAGTGTTTCTCACGCAGTTGTATATTGTAGTTAACCTGACTAAGATTACTTCGACGTGTATGTGCGACGTGTATCTCATAGTATGTGCGTCGTCGCGTGCGATATTATAAATTCAAATGTAACATACTCATATTGTCAGAGTTATGTTTCCCAGCGGTGACTTGTTACAGAGTCGACATTTCAAAACGTAACCGTAAACCCCTTATACCGATATGTAAATACAGTCGATGGAGATCTCGCGGAAGTCTCACCGGAGCACACGGAATACTGGACCGTATCATCTAGCGATGGAAATGCAGATCCCGATGTAGATTAATGACATCCCGAAGTAGATGCGTGCTCATCGATCCGACACAGACACGTTTGCTTACCCTGGCAGAAATGATATAACGGTTGTGATCCTCTGATCTGCCGCGAGATGATATACGTAAGTCTCACAGTGCATAAACGCGATTTGTATACGTTTTAAAAAGCAAAATATTTTATAAATAATACATATTAATAAATATTAGTTGTTCAATTATCAAGTCGCGTTTTTATTGTTATTTTTTTACATGTATCTTTGTTAAAAAAAGTTATATACATGTATATATATATTGTATATTTTTTTTTTTTTTTTTACAATTATAAGTTATACTAATTCTGAAGCAGAAAAAGTCATTTCTTCTATTTTTACTAAAAAAATTTTTGTTTTACTAATTTCCAATAATAAATTAAGACTAATAGCATTTACAAATAGTAGAGCCAAGGAAAATACGCTTTCAGAGGAAATGGAAGGCATCTTAAATTTCACAAACAGGATTTGTCGCGTCTCTAAGGTAACTCGATAAAGATTTTCCACACAAGCAACACGAATGATGGTTCCATCCACCATACTTCGAATATGACTTATATAGAACTAGCATATCGATTTCTCAGTCAAATTTACAATTATGCTGCTTTACAGAAATAATTGTTGGATAGTGTAATACAATAAAATAAATTTCATTAGTGAAATTTATAAGAGAGTTATTGTACAAAGCTGAGTACTATTAAATTTCAACAACCGAAACGTTAAATTGAGTGGAAATAATTAATTGAGTGAAAATAATGACAATTGTCTCTCTCTCTCTCTCTCTCTCTCTCTCTCTCTCTCTCTCTCTCTCTCTCTCTGTGTTAAGCCGTATATCAACAATAGATGCGAAAGACTTAATAAAATTTTATTTCGAGAAATAGAGTTCATTGTATAATATAACGGTAGAAAGGAGACTTATACTAAAGGTATCATTACCAATTTAAAACGATTTGATACATCCAGCTCTGTAAGTTTGCAACTTTGCTTAATGGATCTGGGCGAAACGCAAGTTAGGTGTACACTCTGCTTTGCGCAGCTGTTTTTGTCAGAGAGGATATGCAGGTGTAAAAGCGAGTGGTATCTAATTAACGGTCAGCTCTGCCAGTCGACCTTAATTCACCAGTTGAGGCTCCCTTTTCGCCCGTACACTCTCTCAGTATCTATAACGTCATTTGAGTTTAGTTGCTAGTGGTATCGTGCTTCAAACGAGCGCATTATAGGTATACTTTGTATGACCGTTCATGCATTATAGTAACAAAAGGAATTGCTGCACTCGAAAAAGTACGCGAATGACTTACATGAAAAATTTAGAATCTTGAGAAAAAAATGTAAAAAATTACAATAGTATTGAATTATTTTATGTTTGAATAAGCTTGAATCGCGTTTAACCATTAAATTTTAGTGTTCGGTGGACAAAGGAATATACAATAAGTACTTACGTGTGAAATTGCTTTTCTTGAAAAAAACAACTGAATGATACGACAATGAAAGCTGCAGATCGATCTCTTTTTACACGGGAAATGTTTTTTAAAACGTCGCTCGATTATCCTTTCGATTCTTGGCACACGAGCTGTTAAGATCCGTGCAAGTGATACGGGTCATCCGAGAAATCGCTTTGGTGGCGTCGTAACCCCTCTATCGGCAATAATAGAGAGAGTACTCCACTCCTTTCTCCCTCTTTCTTTTCTATCGCACAGAAAGTTATTTTCCTCTAGGGATCAACGATTTCCGGCAACTGCCAATACACGACAATGTAAACTTTGAATTTATGTAAATCATATTGTTTTCTATTTCAGCCTTTCGGTACAATGATAAGCGTGCAATATTAGTAATTGATAATTGATAACCGTGAACCAATTGTGAATAAATTTCTTCTTTTCTAATCAATTTTTTTGTCATTTCAATTACGTATAATATAACAAATATTTCTCGTACTTGAAAAAATTTTAATTCATAAATTTCATTCAGAAAGATATTTTTTATTATTAAAACGCAAGATTAAGTAACACTTTATTCTTAACGGTTTTAATTTTTGGTGAATAAAATAGCTAGCAGCATATACGCATAAAATGTAAAATGTAAAAGAATTAAATTAAATTCCAGACGAGGAAGTTATACACTCTTACTTGGTGCATCGCGTACACAAAAATGTAATTACGTTATAAATAGTTGAAAGCGTGCCAAGCTTGTGCTGTACCGTGAAAATTTTGCTTCACTTTATATCATTTTAATCTAATAATATTTATTCGTGTACACAAACAGAAAATTATAGCAGCATTCTAATCAGTCGACGTCAAATCAATCTCCAGCAGAGATTATCTGCAGCGTTGAGTTAAATGCGACGAAATGTTTGTTGAATTTATACTAGGCGCTTTTAGTTTTCGAGAGTTATCAGATTGAATACGAACTTTGTCATATTATTACGCGCAACATGAGCTTTCACCGTCGTAGTTAAAGTGCTAGGGAAAAGCAAGATATAGAACGCGCTTTTGTATAATGATTCTCTTTTCTCAACTCTATAGTTTACACTTCACCGGCGCCAATCGCGGTATCAGTTGCGCGAGTTTTGTAAAAGAGTAAAATTCCTTTCAACGGAAAGTGCGCGCCCCTATCCTCATGTGCTTCACAGAAGAATAGTTTCGGGAGTATTCTTTCGGAATGTAACGAGATCCTCCGATGTACTTCGCGTCTGTTGTTGTTAAAACTGAGATTCGAAGCTTCAACTTTATAATACCAGTGCTCAGAAGCTGAGAGATTTCCGGATATCGAATCTGGCTATCGAATCGAGATAAGCTTTTCTTTCAATTGCTGGCGCAATCAATTTTATAAACGGTCCTGCGTTAAGTTATGAATTTTTACGAGCAATCGACGCTCGTAAAAATTGGCCATGGCTCTCCCTTAGACACAGATATGGTTTAAGAAATTCATGATCGATACCGGTATACGAACGTCTGGAAGAAGATGAAGCAAGGAAGCGAAGAGAACGAAAGAGGGTGGAAGGACGATGCTGGGGATGAGATACTTCTCCGGAAATTACGCTCTCTCCGTGAAGGCAGCACTTCCGGTCCGGCTATATATAAGTCGTTTCAGCAAGAAGAATAACCGCAAACGGACGTAGCCCGTAAACTCTTCGTGTCCGAAATGTTTTGTCTGTAGCGTAAAAGCGACGTCTCAGGTATAAAAACACGTCGTTATGTTACACAATTAATCGAAATACGTTTAAAGTTTCGTCAAATTACGACTCTCTGTATTTTACCGAATTGTCCGCACAATATGCAGATTAAGTGGACATACGTATATGTCACGTGAAATATTTCACCATGAGAAAAAGTGCAAACAAAAGTAGCTTTATTCATTATATCCTTTTATGCACAATAACGGACGAATATTGCGATGCTCTTAAAAATATGCAATATGTATATGTACATCGATATAATCCAAATGTAAATTTTCGTTTGTTGATACGTGTATTATAAAACGTTGATATTTATTATTCGTTTTAAGCGTATCGCATAAATCGCGAATATTGTTTTCCAACATTGGACAAATTAAATATATTTAATGAACCGAGAAATTGTATACACACAGAAGTAATACGACACATTTCAGTTTATGAGAAAGTATACCCTACCAATTAATATTAATAACAATACTGTCATGAGATGATCGGCGATTGTTTGTCAAAACAGTTTTATTTGTTTCACGCTGCGCATCGTTTGCAGAATTTTGATATAACGGAATAACGTTACGTAACCACTCGTTTGACGTACATCCGGGTATCGAACGACGGGGGCTTTCAGTTAGTAACATTTCCGCGATTAAATACTGACGGTATATGTATACATTTCCCTCGCAAACTCTGCAGATTCAGAGTTATTATTTATGACTACTATCTCATATATTTGAACACACAAAAGCCAATAACATGTATTTAGTTGGAATAAACCTTGCTTGTCAGCATTGTTTTATACGAAACATTGTACGAATTATATTGCCGCTATGATGTATATCGCACAATTGTACAATATATTTTTAACATGTTTTATTTTTTTTTTTTTTATGTGCAGCTCGTGGGCGGTGAATTCGACATGGAACTGAATTTCGTGATACAGGACGCGCAGAACATCAGGCATATGCTGGAGCTTCTCGATCATTGCCCACCCAATCTCCAGGTAAGTGAACATCGTGACGTTAAACTAGGTCGAATTAATTACGTGCGGAAAATATCTGACGTAAATCCAAGGGGAATGCGGTGGAAAATATTATACGTGCTAGCGGGCGCTTGTCGATATCGTAATATCAGTAATTGAAATTGAAAACGTATTGTATATACACACACACATATATATATATGTTGTATATATGTGTGTGTATGTGTACACAACGCATTTTTTATAAAGCACTTCTCGAGATAGAACACGCGAAGATAGAAAAGTGATTCCTAAGATCCTTCTCGGATATCATCGGATAGAGTGTACAGTGTTGAAGTCTTAAACTACTCATTCTTCTCTCTTCGTATTGACGCTTTTTTACGCAATATAGAAAGAGACTAATTTTTATATCAATTTATAAGATTTCTTATACTTCGCACTTATATAATTTGCGATTTATCTAATTTTTCTATCAGTCGACACATTTTACAAGTATAATCGCGGATCATATGTATGTGCAATTGATACGCGCGTGTTCTATTGTTAATTAAGTTTTTACATTTTTATTTTATAAATGATCGACTGAAATATAATACTCGAATTGAGAATTGTTCAATTCCAAGTAAGTGCTTAACATACACCTAAATAATTCAAATATCTACGTTCAGCGCAATCAACGTTGCGTCTGGCACTATCGTAGAACTTACTACTTCGCCTGCTCCCTTATGTTGCGGCGGAGCAATTCTGTTGCTAAATGCGAATTGTCGTCAGTGAAGAACGAAGCGATCAATACCACGTGTCTCATGTACGCAGTAAGCGCGTTAAATAAAATTGCAATAATTAAAGTTACGTGAAAAAGCGGATGATTTTTTTACGTTGAAATCTCAACGCTGGAACGATGGAAAGTAAATTGTAAAGTAGGACACATACGAATTTTTGATTTTTTTCTCTGTCTCTTTTTCTCTCTTTCTCTCGTTCGCTATTTGACAGAAAAAAAGCGTCAGGACACGCACAATCTCGTCGCACAAAAGGATCGAAATTCATTATGCGGCAAATTTTTCTCGGGTATGACATTTTTTCGATCACGAAGCATATGATTTATTACCGCTTCGAAGCATCGTCCGTGTCCTCCGTTTTTCGTGTCCGTGAAGTATCTAGAAAGGCACATCGATTTTGACGGAAAAATATGATCTCGTGATATCGCACTATCGATAGAAAAATAGTCTATGGTTTAATCTGATCGATATTGATCAATGTAGACACACAGCGACTCTACTGACACATATAATAACTGACCAGGAAAGTGATTTGTCAAGATATTACTGGCAGAAATAAATCGCTCAGTTCATTTCAGCAACTTTGCCACGCGAGTTCTCTATACGATGAGACGATGCGTTTTTTTTCCATAGAGTAATAAGATTGTACATTCCCGTTAATCGATGACACATAGTTTATTTTCGAATCTTTGCATTTGTCAATTATTTAATTCGTCCTTTGTGTCTTTCTTTAACTTAATTTTTAAGAGAAAAAATTAATCATCATTAACGAGGTTGCATTTAATTAAAAATAAATACGCAACCGCATAGCTTATGTAGATACAACCACTACACAAAAGTATATTTTGCATTTGTGCACAAACACGTTCATATATCTCTTGTCCCATTATATTTGGAACAAACAACATGTTTCTCCCATGACCCCGGGTGCAAAGATTAAAGCAAAAGACTCCGCAAAAAACACCACCTGCTGTGTATCTTCGAAGTTCGTGTACGTCTCGCTTCGTTAAAAGCAACGTACGACTTGGCGAGAAAGGAAAGTAAGGACGGCGAACTTTTGTAAATAATAGCGGGTCCTTAGCCGCCATGTCGGGTGGAGGAAAATCCGTTTACGCTTTCGTCGCTCTTCGCAAACTCATACACGACACTTGAGCCTCCGCTGCAAACTTTTGGCGTGAAAGTAAATAGAAATTTAAACTAGATGGATGAATAGATAAAGTTATGAACATCTTGTTCTTTCGCTGATCATCCGCAGTCCTTTTTTTGTTCATTTGTTTTTGTATTAATAAAAAACGACAAAATCAAATCCAAATTAGATTTATCCGAGCTCATCATATAACAAACAAGGCTTGCCTAGTTGGATTTCTACTTGTGCGAAACTGGTAAGCCATATCTGACAGTTGTTGCTGAGACAATAATTAATTTGTATCGTGTATGGACTAGACATGGAAATGCTCGTTTAAGTGTGGTAGGATCACTATATATGTATAAATGTTAAGATGTACAGTATAGTAGCATCAGAATAAAAGAGCTTGAGTCCATCTATTATGTACAGGATGTCTTACTATTCTTGACATATTTTCCTGAAGTACTTTTCTTTGATATTTTCACGAGATCTTTTTAAAAATTTCCAAGTTTTAATTATAAATTATAATTATTTTGTTAATTAAGCTTTATATATATAAATATTTAACATATTTATAAATTGACATTATCTGTTTTAAATTAAAATGCATTAGAAATTAAAAGAACATAACAATAGTGGTCGTATTTTCTGTATATATATATATATATAATATAATTATAATTTTGGTTGATTAGCGCCAGTTGATATAATCTGTCACTGATCGGTTCTTGCTTAGCTCTATAGTTTAACTTGAGCAGCCTGAAATGTTAATATTATTAAAGGAGTTTCTACGTCGCTTATCCTCGACCGTACATGGACGCTAGGGTTATCTTGCCTCTGTCTAGCTTCTCTTATACACGGTAAATAGCTAGCAAAATACATATGTACATGTATATACAGATTGTTCTAAAACTATTGCTTTATAATTCAATAAAGGCTTGGAGTCTAAGCGGATGAAAAATTGTATTTAAGCAAAGTTTGCTCGAAATTAATCGGAAAGAAAAATACGAATGCTATATATTTACATCTTCAATTTAATTACATTATTGAATTTTTCAATAAAAATCTCTTGGCTTTCAATAGTTTACAACTGTTTGACGTATTAATGCTAAAACATTTTTCGCGTCATTTCTTTAATATCTGTCGTTAGAATATATGGTGGTTTTCAGACTCGCAATATATATATTTCATTGTATGTTTGTTGAGGCCATCCATCTCTTTGAGATCTAAGCCAAGCATAATGGACCAGCGTAATGCTCGCGCGCGAAAGCGTATTCTATCTAAATCTCTAGTACTTTTCTGTTAGAATCTTCGAGCAGACGAATATTCTACAGAAACCGCAAACGTAGCGACGACCACGTTAAAGAGACACAATGCAGTTTGAAAGTGCCATTTGCGACGCATTCGTATTTATGTCACTTTGAGAAATCGACCGAGCTTTGTAAATGAAGAGTTCACTATATATATTGTATTATATTCTCTCTTTTCTCTTTTTTAATCAATATTGTGGAAGTTTTCATCTTACGAAGAATTATGAATTTTCAAGAATAAATGAAACACAACTGATTTTCAAGAATAAGAAATAAACAAGAAATCATAAGATTATTGAATTTACACGATTGTTTTCATTATATCTTCAGAATTAATTCTTCAATGAATAGAATAAAGAATTGAATGCATACAAAGTGATTAATATTAAAAAATAGAGTTAAATTAAATGTATGATACCGTAAAGCAATTTCGTCATTTATGGATGAAGATGCGAATATATACTATGTTTTTGCGAGGAGGGAAATTAAAATGTACGAGACACTGTCTTGAAGGAAATATCAGATAATATAGAAATCTTCACTGCGGAGTGTTATTTCAGGAAATAACGAGAATATGGAAGTAACGATATTCTTTTGACGTACTGTTGTTTACGGTTGATTGGATACATCAAATCTTTGCGTTATATGTTATCGTCTGCTCGTTTAATAAAACACGACATTTCTACACTCGCAATAAAACTTATTACAGCATACTATTACAGCATTTTTCTCTTCTTTTTATCACATATTTGAACGTTAAGATTGACATTGGAAGTTGACATTTCTAGAGAGCTATTTGTCAATATATTTTTAGAAATTCTGGAAAAATAAAGATAAAATAAAAGAGAAAATAGAGAGAGAGAGAGAGAGAGAAAGAGAGAGAAGACCAGTAGCATTTAAAATTTTTTGTAATAAAATTGAGAAAAAATTTTTATTCTGTTATCATCAATCTATTTGTCCGAAAAACTGTCCGCAAAATACATATATAATATATTGTAAAAGTAATATTTTTATTTTTACTGAATAATGTGCGGGTAAAAATATAATCTAAAAATTTTTGTGATAAATTTGTAGCAGACGCAAACGAGAATATCAGTTTTTCACTACGTAAAATGCAACGATTTGCAACGAGAAATACAGACGTTCGTGAACTCGATTTTATCCTGGTATTATGTCGCATTGTTATTTTGATGAGATGTAAAGCCGGATTACTGTTGGTGAACATTGCACTCTACGTACGATATTTTGCACATATCATAAAAAAATCAATGACATTTTATAGCAATACATGTACGAGTCGTATAGTTAATCTGTGTTTCAAGAGGAGAGTATTTTAATAAATAATTAGTATACATTGAAGTGGTAGAAAAAGAAGCTAGAACATTTTTGCATTAATTTAATTAACTGTTTAAAAATCGTGTGTAGTTTAACAAATTTTATAAATGAAAAAAAAATTTTAATATAATATTTTAAAGCAACAATGACAAGGCTAATATGACTCTGCTCTAACAAGAAATATGTTATAATATTTTGTAACACGTGCACTAATATTCTGTGCTTGGAGATAATGAGCAAAAATTTTAGATAATTATAATTTAAAAATATTAAACATTATGTTATTTTTAATATTTTTAAAATTATGATTTTACCTAAATTTATATATAAATTTTTATTGCTAAAGACTTAATAATTATATTGAGTTTATAATTGAATTATATCTAATGAGAAATTAGATATTAATGGTTGATTAACTACTAAATATTACACAAGATTATTAAAGCCATAGCCTTTAGAATTTGGACCCTATTA